AGTGAACTGCATTATCTGAACTACATGGAATATGTTCTAAGACACTTATAAGTTCTGTGACTGATAGGAACTAAGAAGTGCCTCACCATGTCTTGTGCATTGCCTACCACTGGCCCTTTTCCCAGGGCTCTGCCCATGTGTAGCCCCTGCTTCCCATGTGATGCTGATCCATTCTCTTCCCTGCTTGCCATGGCCAGTGATGATAGACCTCTGATGATGAGGGTGGCGGGGGGTCGGGGTGGCAGGGAATAACTTGAGATATGCATGTCAGTGACATGTCTTGGTGCATTCCTAAAAGAAGAATTAAGCCAATCCTATTCCTTCCTCCTCGATTTTATACTTGAGTACAGAGACACAATTGTTAGTTATCAGTAGGCGCATACATTTAAAGACTATAAGAAGAGGAGGGTTAACTGTGGCCTTGATAGTTATGCATAAATCAAAGTTATGAAGAAACCATAGAGCAAAGAAAAAAACACCACCCCCACGAAAGAGAAGGAATCTCTGAGGCTGCCTGTTTCTCTGTGTTTGCTGAGTTCTCATGACTGGCTCTACAGTATTTTTGGATCCCACGAAACTTCTTTATGTCCCTATAATGAACTTCATTCCCCTTGACTTCCCACTGTTATGAGTGAGTTTCTGTTGCTTGCAACCAGTTATGACACCAAGGGACTAAGGTGCCATGTGAAAATAGGAAGTAAAGTTTTCTAAACACTGAATGTAATCTAATTAAAAATAAAACTGATAAAAGTATTTAGTGGGGAAAGGTTTCCCTAATGATATTCAAAGTCTTGAGAATGGAAGGGTGGTAGAAATAAGGGAATGGGCAATGATCTCTTTAGGTCTTAGTGGACTTGTGACAAGGTCTTTGCACACATGGTGTTACTTTCTAAAGGTTAGACAAATGGTTAACAAGTAAATATAAATAAATATTGTAACATGGTAATTATACATTGAGAGGGTGTCTATGAAGGAAGTAAACAGGAGTAAACATAGGAGACTGGTTGGAAGTTTGGTAAAGGGTGTTCTTTAGCCCCAAATGATTTTGCTGCGAGTGCCAGTGCACTGTTTAAAAATTTCACATATGACCTTGATTCATTCCCTCCCTCCATCTGCCTTGGCCAAAGATGATAGATCAGGGATGGATCTTTTATGAACGAATGTGGCCCAAGGCAGGCACAGACACAAATATAGGTATATATCAGATTGGCATATATTTTGTATAGGTTTAGAACACTGCTAACAACCTGACTTTTTATCTTCAAAGATGACACCAAAAGCCATCAATAAACTAATGAGGGCTTTTTTCTCTCTTTCTTTCTCTCTTTGGAATGGATTTGGATGGTGAATAATGGAACAACAATTTAATGAGCCTACCTTCTGCTAGACAACATGCAAGATTAAACTCTCTGATTTATTGAAGAAAGCCACCCACATTCTCACCTTGTGATTAGTGGCATTTATGTATAAAGTGACTGCCTGGGATTCAGCCTTCTGTCTGGATCTGGGAAAGAGTTGTTCTCTCTGGAGCGAAGGGTGCTCTAATCTGCTGTCTGCTTCTTCTAGCATCAAGTTCTAGCCTAAATTCCTTTTAATCAGGAAACCATATAGAAATAATTAGTGTAAAAGAGAAATTAACTATCATTAGCCAATCGATTTTTTTCCCTTTTAGAAATAATTTGCTATTCCATTTCAAGCTTTCCAACTATTTTGATGGGATTGCATATTCAAGTTGGAGAAATAGTGTGGTTTTTTGTTGTTGTTCTTATCTCCTCTTGTTAAGATTGCATAGTTAATTTCTGGAGGTATACAACCTCTTGAGTACTCAAGACAGGAAATAGAGCGATTGCTGTTCAAAGCTTTTAAGATCATTGAATACCCAGAATATACTTTCTACAGGGTACCAGCTCTATAACTATAAAAGCAAAGAGGGATCTAGAGCACTAGAGAGGGAATACACAACACACAAAGTTGCAATTACCAAGCAACAGAATTTACTGAGCATGGAAAATTCTGTCACTAAATAGATGAACGGTCCTCTTGAGTCCTTCCCAGGATGCCAGACAAGTGTTCTCAGCAGGGGCTTTCTCATCTTCAGGGATTTTACTTGGGAAAAAAAAGTTGGACAGATAAAGGCACACTGAGAAGTAAGCTTTTGGATGGAGAAATGAGGCTAGGAAGCTTCTTCTCCGGAAGATGAGTGTTGGCCAATTAGGGGATTTCACTAGAGGTACTGACCTTGACATCCTCTTGTAATTTTGTTTTTAGGTCTTCTTTTTTGTGCACTTTTCTTTCAAAGGCACTTAAATATAACAATAAAGAATATAATTACCACTACCTCCATTGTTCATAACAAATGACATGTCATGAAATAATTATTGTAGGCAAAATGGTGTGCTACCTTCTACCTTACAGTCTGATTTTATTCTAATAAGAAGATCAATATTTCTTTCTCTTTGTCATAGGGATTGGACAAAGTATGAGACCAGTACACATTTTAACAAGATGAGTATTCTCTGTTATTTACCATACATTTATTCAACAAATACTTACCTAGAGCCTACTTTGTGCCAGAAACCATTAGAGATGCAGTAGTAAACAAGGTAGACAAGGTCTTTGCACACATGAGATTACATTCCAGTGAGGAACACACATCATCAAGTAAATATAAATAAATAAGATAATCAAAGATTGTGATGATTACCAGGAAAGAAGTAGTGAATGAGTGGAATTAAGGTTTTCTGAAAGTTTATCCATTTGGATGCTAAGGGTTATCTCTTGTTTACACTAAATCTCCAGCATTCCTCCTTAGTCTTTGAAGTGAACTGACACTTTTATTTTTCAGATTTACATACATAGCTATGTAATTACAACTCCAAGCTTTTCTGCCACTTCTAAGCAAATCCTTGTCTCCAAATCTCCCCTATATAGACATTTTAGAATTGCCAATGAGCCTAATATTAAGCAATTGTCTTGGCAGTACAAGTTCTACTCTATAAATTCTGGAAACCAAAAAAGGCCAAGTAGTTGTAGTGTAGCTATTTGCATACAATGTCTGTCTTGCCTGTTAGACTCCGAGCTCCTTGAAGACCAGTGCTAATCTGAATTTTTTTGTCTTCTATTATGCTTAACACGATGCCATGCACATAGTAGGAACTCAGTATATTGCTCATTGAATTCAACTGAATCAGCAAAAACCACCAGCTCTTGCCAAAGGTATCAGCAAACGCATGTTTGAAGAAAATTAACTAACAATTAAGATAAAAACGTCAGTATTCATGAATTTTGGCTGAGCAGACACATTTCCTTACTGGTGAACATAAGGCTTTTCAGACCAATGAATCTGGTATCCTACAATCCCTTGCCAACATGCATGGTGGGGATGGAGGGGCAGAAGTATGGGCTGTATGCAGACATTGGCAAATGGCTGACACTTGAGTCTCCCTGCCAAGGCCACAGGCTTTTGGTCTGTGTGCCAGGAGGTATGAGAGAGATAAATTGAGAAGTCCTCAGGTAAGACCTTCCTATGGAGACGCAGAGGCTATTTCTGTTTTGACTTGAAGTTTATGAGAAGCCTGCACTGTCCTTCCCTACAGAATGATTTCAGGCTCCTATGAGCACTCCCTTCAGGAATGCTTCAGGTTCAAATGATTCCACGGTTGAGACCTTACTATGTGCAAACACTATTCTTAGAGCTGGGGATGCAAAGCTGAACAGTTATCTTGCCCCCAAGTAACCATGATTTCATCTCAGTGGCAGGACTTAACACGTAACCAGTAAAGGGAAGACTGTGATATTATCCCTGTCCTAAGAGCTCATCCTTGCTTGTACATAGACACACACAAACACACATACACACACTCATTAGGACTTTGCTAAGTGGGGTAAATCAGAGTAATTGCTTCAGGTGGCATACTGTGGTGGGTTGGTTTCAAGCAATGGCAGGGAGTAGGCTACAGGGCAAGAACCAGGAGAAGCAAATGGCATGGAAAAGGGATGTGGTTTTACTAGCTGGCCTGGGGTATATGTACCTAAGTGTAACCATGAGGTAAAGTCCTGTGAAATGAACAGCAGGAATATACAATTCATTCAGTCACTCATTTGTCCTTTCATTCATTCAAGAAATGATTACTGTCTACTATGTTCTAGGGGCCAGGAATGCCACATAAAGGAGAAAAAAGAAAGAGATAATCTGTAGGAAAAGCCAACGTTAATCAAATAGTTCCACAAATGTAAAATTGCAGCTGTGACAAGGGCTAAGGTACTTGGTACTGTGAGAGACTGTAATAAAGGCATTTAACCTGTCAGGAAGGCTTTCCTTAACTTACCTGGTTTTACTCACATAATGCTTGTTAGGGGGCTGAGATGGTGCAGGTGGATTTGCCCTCCATTCCATGTTTTCTAAGGTCAGTCTTTGCATCAGTGTGTGAATTGATGCATATGATTTAAATTGACTGGATCTATCTTTTGGTCCCTTTCCTTTTTCATTTTATTTATTTATATATTTCACACCATTAAAACTATTTTTAATGGAGCCATGTTTACTCATCATCTTCAGGAGACTGTAGGAATTGAATCACAAATGAAATTTCTTTAGTCACTCACCAGACACTGGAGAATGTTTTCACAATCTGGAAAACAGAGCTGAGTGATGTATCACAAAATTTAGCCTTTACGTTGAATGGTCCTAATTCAAATTTGATTATATTAAAATAGAGTGCACTGGAGGGAGCAAGATGTGTGGAAAGAACATAGATTTGGAGTTTAAGAAGCTCCACCACTCATCCACAAGAGGCCTTTGGTAATTTATGTATCTTCCCCAAGCCTCAGTGACTCCATCTGTAATATGGGGGATTATAATAGCCACTGCAGAGGTTTTTATGAGGATTAAAGCAGATTGAATGTTTGAAGGCTCTAGGATAGTGCCTTGCATTAGTAGGGGCTCAATCAATATTTTCTTCTTTCCTTACATTTAGATTCTTGGGCTTTGTTTATCACAGGTCTGCATGCAGAAACCCTGCTAATTTCGAAGAGGGCTTCCTTTACTATGGAAAGGAGGATTGAGAGGAAAATTAGAAAAGGATTCCCATGTAGACCTAGGGAAGGTAAGACCCCCATATCCTAGTTTATAACACGATTTCATAAAAGGAGTGGAAGATGAATGTATATTAAAATGATTCAAAACATGAGCAGACTCTGCGAGTGTTATGCACAGATGAGTTAATTGTTTTGCCTTAAATATATTTCCTGAAGAACAGAAGCCCGATCACAGCACACATCGTTATGTATTTTAGACAAACAGCACTTTGAATCAAATTATAGTACATGCATAAAATATTAAAATAAGACATTTATAACAAATCTTTCTAACTTAGTGCTCAGCTCTAAAATAGATTTATATGTGGATAAGCAATAGGTGCGATAAATGTGGTACAGATACCACAATTTAAATTGCAAATCAACAGAGAATCATGGGAAAAAGGAATGCAGACTTGAAGCACTGGAGGAAAAGATCCAGCTATTCAATATTTTTAGGTCTTTTGCCTGATTTCGATTTGCAATGTCTGTATCTGGACTCCACATTTGATAAATTCCAATGTTTGCTCTTTAACATAGTTTATTTACAACCCCAATTTAAATGAGATAATTAAAACCTTCATTTATTGTTCCTTTTGTTTACTGTTGAACTGTTGCCAATATACAGTTCCTGGAATCTTCAAGCTATTTTAGTTAGTTGGGATATTTTAGAAGAACATTGCTATTTCTCAGTTTACAAAATAGGCAAGTGCAATGGGAAACAATGTCCTTACACATGCTTGAGCACTGCCTGCTTTGCCAGATCACCTTGCACCTTGGACTTTTCCTCCTACTCCTGTGTAGTAAATGTGATGACAACTCGTCTCCAGGAATAATCCCTGCCCAAGGATATTAAACTTGTTTCATTTATGTTGAAGAACCTTGCTTGGGGCGATTGAGCTGAATATCTACAGAGCTGAGTGTTTCTGGGCAAGTTGGCCTGTTAGAATCGAGAAGGATTCCCCTCAAATTGAAAGCCCTTAGAAGGCCCCTAATGAATGAGGTTGTGCTTTGGGACTTGCATGATATCCAATGCATTTTGGGGAAGTAGATTCTTTGCTCCCGGCGTCTCTGGATGTAGATGAACATGTAAGATTTGCCCAGGCTACGTTTTTGAAGACCAGAGACCCATGAACCAAGGGAAGGAGGAGCAGCCACAAAGGGTTGTGTCAGTATTTCTGAGTGCCGACAACTTAAGAGATCTCTTTCAGCCAACAATTTACTTGCAGCTACAGAATTAAAACATTTCTTCTTAGCAAGGGGTTGTTTGCTTGGAAACATTTCTTCTTTGCCTGATCTATATGCTGGAAGTTTCTCTTCCCATTGAATATCTCTAATATTAGCTTTTCCTCACAGAGAGTGTCTGTACAGCCATATTTTATTTTCTTATAAAAATTGTATCAAGTTTTTTAATGCCCAGGTTTCTTGTGCAATTAACTTACCTTCCTGTTTCCCACTCTGTTTACAATAATTGTTTCCAAGACTTTTTTGGAAGTTACTTCGTTGAAAATAATTAAGGACGAAATAAATTTTTTCATATTCAAGATTTCAGGTGGCAATATTCAACCAGACTTTACATCAATTAACCATGGCAGAAGAGAAAAAAATGAGACCTATTCTAAATTTCCACTGTAACATTAGATCCACAAAATTATATCTGCTGATGTTTACCTCTATCTAGGTCAAGAAGCATTAATGACAAGAGAACTTTAAGGAGCAAGAAATTAAATACTTCCACACCTCACAACATTAGATTGTTCCTGGAACTAAAGTGCCATTATGGGTTCCTGCCATGCTAAATGAGTTTTCCTAAAATTTGTGTGTTGGAAACTCAACCCCTCTGCCCTCATGAATGAATTAATGGATTCATGGGAATAATGTTGCTATCATGAAAGTGAGTTCTTTATCATGGGAGTGGCTTTGTTATAAAAGCAAGCTCTCACTGGCTTTTTTGCTCTTGCCTTCTCACTATGTGATGTCCTGTGCCATATTATGACAAAGCAAGAAGACCCTCACCAGATGCTGGCACCATGTTCTTGTACTTCCCAGTCTTCAGAACCATGAGCTGAATAAACTTCCTTCGCAGTCTTTGGTATTCTGTCATAGTGACAGAAAAAGTATTAAGATATTTCCCAATTATCCATTCCAATAAGAGTCAAATGCAGTTTTAAAACAGAGAGGTAAAGAGTTAGATCTGTGCCATCACAGTAGCCACTGGCCACAATGTAGCTACTGAACACTTGAAAATGCAGCTAGTCTTAGTTGAGCAAAACTGTAAATACAAAATACATACCGGTGTTAAACCCTTAATACATAAAAGTAAATATCTCAATAATTTTTATACTGATAACGTATTTAAATGATAATATTTTGGATATATTGGATTAAATAAAATACATTATTAAAATCAACTTCACATTTCTTTTTACTTCTTTGAAATGTGGCTACTAGAAAATTTAAAATTATATCTGTCATTCACATTATATTTCTATTGGACAATGCTGAGCAAGATTGATGTAAGGCAATATTGTAACTAATCAGCTTGAAACACTTTGGTATTAGGCAACTGACTTTGTTCTTTATAGCATGCCTGAAGTTCATTGTAAATGGAATCCTATTTTAAGTGTGCCAGGAGATCTTGCTGGTTAAAGTAACCCCATGGTGAGAGCTGCCATCTTATGAGTAATCACTGCCTAATATATCAATTTAATAGGTTTAGATTTTAATAGGATTTTCCTAAAGCAAAGTTCACCAATTTTATCATTTTCTTTGCAATATGACCATTATTTCTCTTTCTGTGGAAAGTTTCTACTTTTTGGTTTTTCAGGAGATACTTGCTTTTGTCTGTCTGTCTCCCCTCATAACCACCTCTTAGAAGGAAAGCATGATTTATTTAAATGTGCTTGAGCTCTGAAGTTAGGCTGCTGGGGCCCATCACCAGTGCTTACTAGTGACATTTGCTACAGCCACCTCTCTTAGCTGAAGTTTTCTCATCTGTGAAATGGAGCAGTAGATCGCAGCTCACAAGGGAGTAATGGGCATTCAGTGAGATGATTACTACACCGAGCACATGGACAGGGTCCAGTGAAGTGAGTTTCCAATCATTTCCTTTTGTATTATGAGTGCCTAGGGACCCAAGTTGCCAGGGCACCAAATCAGTGTTGCTGGTCACTGACTTTTTTTTTTGTGTGTGAGATAACTCCATTATTGTGAGTATTGTGTACCTGCTTGAAGTATCTATATATTTATGACACTTGTGGACAAAATTACCCATAAGCTCCTAGCCTCTGTATCTTTGAATGTGCTCTTCTCTCTGCCCAAAGAACCCTTCTTCCTTCATTGTTTTCTTTCCTCATTGTCTAATTCATCTTTCAAGGTCCAGATGAAGTGCCACCTCTTTCATTAGGTCTCCTCTGACTATTCCAGACAGCAGTAATTTATAAACTTTAAACATTTTATTGTCAACATAAGCCAGTCTGAATCAAGTAGCAAGGATTTATCTGGTATATCAAATTCCAAGACTTATTTTCAAGTGATTTCAAGCCTATTCATTTTGGTTTCATCCACTAAACTGCAAGTGTTTTGAAAGCAGTGGCCATGCTTCATACCTACTTTACAACTACCATATATCTTGCTCAAAAAATACTTATTGATTGATTGACAAAGACTTGGCTGATCAAAAATTATTCAATGCAGCAATAATGATTCATGATAGGGAATGACCCAGCAAGAAATATCATGTGCCATCTTTACATGTTCTACAGTGAATAATTACTATACATGTCCTGATTTTAAAAGATTATCATCTTGTAAAATCCCCATTTTATTTAGCTGCTTAGTTCTAGGAGGTATCTGAGTTCGTAAAAGGATGACTTAAATATGTTTCTGATTTAGATTCTTTTGAGACATGTATCTGTTTATACTTATATTTACATATATTTTTGAGACATACATATCTATATTTAGGTCTTTTGAGATGTACATATTTATATATCTAGAAGTCTATATATCTAGACATAAATATATCTAGATATCTAGGTATCTATGTATATATATGTGAGGTGTGTGTGTGTATGTATGTGTGTGTGTGTGTGTATACATATATATATAAAGGTTTTTTTCTCTCTGTCTGTGTGTAGATAGATAGATACATAGATGTAATCATATCATGAAGATGCCCAGTTTCTATTTGTAGTCGTTTCTCAATAAGGCAGTGGGACATTGGTACTTTCAAGGGAGCTTAGAGACACTGAATATGACATTCATGTCATTAAAAATAGCTGTTCTTGGCTACCTTCATAAAGAAGTCCCCTAATGCTTCCTTTAATTGGCAGGATCCACACGTGGTATCTATTTTGCAAATGTGCTCTGCACTGAGGGCTGTAGGTATGTATGTGTCTGCGTATGTTCTCTGTAGGTGACACTCCATCCTGATCACACAGTTCATGCATTGTACTAGGACATACTGTATGCAGACAATGCCTCGCCTTACACTACCCCCCCTTTTTTTAAACCCTGAAATATGGTTGATATGGTCCATTGCAAAATGAACCTATATTGGAAATGGCAAAATTGTAATGTAAAATATCCTGGGGTCAGTGGGGTGTGCTGTTTTTGCATATATTTTTTCTCCCCTGACCCATGCCATTCCCCTGCATACAGGGAAAAAAGCTTCATCTCACACAGAAATGTGATGTCCTTTACTGCCAGAGGCTGTTGCTGTTTTAAATGAGGAAAAAGCACAATGCATGAAGAAGGAAAATTAAAGCATATTCATTTTGGAAATTAGATATGGTGTCAGGAGACTCTCAGAAAATAGCCCCGTTTGAATGGAGCCCTGCACTACAAGACAGTTCACTGAACTTTTGACCACTATTTATGCTATGGAAGCTTTTGAAATAGGGAAGAGAGCAAAACATTTTATAGCTGCTTAATAGCTGAGTTCGTTTTTCTTTCTTCCTTTTTTTCCACCAGGCATTTGTCTATCCCTTCGGTGTATATAAGATATGCAAACACCATGTAGTTTACTGGCAGGCCTTTGTGTTAATGTTTCCAGGTTGGTTCCAAAACACACAGCTACTGGATGAGAGAATCCCCTGGCCAACCCGGTGACCTTCCTTACCCTACACCGCAGTCTGCCGTCTGCCTGTGGCTAGTCTGAAATAGGCAGCCCCAGCCAGGGTTGCACAGGCCTTGGGAGTGACAGTGACCTCTTTAGGGGTCATTCTGCAAATGCAAAGAGTTCCCTTTCACAGTTCCCAGGGATCCTTTATGTAAAATTGGACAAGGATGGGGGACATGATGGAAAAGGCACTTTGTCTAATTTCTCCCTTTCTATTATTTGGAAGAACAGTTCTCAATTTGTGATCATCCCTGTTCTGCTTCATCGCTTCCCTCCTGCAGAGCACATCACACCAGTCAGGTTAAGTGGGATTCAAGGGCCCTCCAGGAAGGACAGCCCAGATTTTTGATTCAACACTGAATAAGGAAGCACCTGAGAAAACGAGGTAGCAGAAGAGTTAATCCCAAGTGGAGGGTGGGGTCAATCAGAGGTAGAAAGAGAAATCCAATTTGTACTGGTATTAATGAAAGATATACTTTAACTTTTATACAGATATGAAGCATGGAGCTAAATATTACAAATTACAGGTTGTGAGTCTATGTCAGCTTTATTATTGTTATTACTATTAATGCAATGATATAAAATCTACAGGGTCACTGTGTTTGTTTAATTTATTTTCTGGGGAAGCTTAACATTTCATTTCCAAGTGAGGACCTTTATTTGGCCTCTTGGTGACTTGCCCACACTGGCACACATTGGGCCCCGCCTCTTGCAGGTCTGGGAGCTCCTTAGCACTCTCTCTGTCTGATCATTACCAGACTTGATTCTCACAGCTTTACCCGGCACTCCACTCCTCAGTCAACCAGTGGCTGTGCTTCCATTAGGAGGTGATACGATATCAAGGTTTTAATAGTGGCTTGAGGTAGGGTGAGGGCAGACAGGGATGCTGAGAAAAGGTTTAACAATAGAATCACTCTTTGCCACGAAGTGCCTGTGTCTGAATGCTGACCTTCTGGGAGTGTCCTTGGTTTGGGAAATAGCGACAATATGTGTCTGCACATGACTATGAGCCCTTACAGACTCACATTTAAAACAAAACACAAAAAAATTTCTTCTTCAACATGGGGACATGTTGCTATTTTCTTCTGCCCGTGCTCTGTGGGTTTAGCTTGAAAGATAGAGCCAAAGTGAGAGCGAGAGAGAGACCATCACTCTCCTCCCCCACTCTCAGCATTATTCATTAGGAGAGGATTTTTTTTTTCCTCCTTTGGACTGGAAACTTCTCTCCTCTCACTAGCCAGTAACAACCCTTCTGTTCATCCTTATGTCAAACCTTCACAACTGCACTAATGTGATCTCTGACAATTGGAGAGGAGCTAGGAAGTGTTGCAAGGGCCACCCTGAACTCAGGAGATGGCTTAGGGTCTTCTCAGGGCAAGGGCTTCTCTGACCGTCCGCTTTCTGCTGGGACTGGGAGGTTGAGATCTGTGTGCTGACCCAGACCGTGAGCTGAAAGAAACCCGAGAAGTAATCAAAATCTTGGCCTCTGGAACTGCCCGCCTTTGTTCCCCGTTCTCCCTGAGGCTTCTTGGCACTGACGGCAGCCATGTTGCCCCGCTCTGGCTTTGTGAGAGGAGAGTCCCAGGGAGCCCTGGGGACGGCCTGTGCTCCTTGCCCACCTACCTGCCCACCCCAGACTACAGCCCAGTGAACGGAACTGTGATGCATGAAATGAGGGGGGAAAGAGGGGTGAGGTCATGCTGGCTTTGTTAACAGTTGGCAAAAAATAGGCACCAGAAAGGGGAATGTCAGTTAGGTGTTTTACAGTTCAAAAATGGAGGTGGGAAGTAGTAAGGCCTCTGACCTAGAAAATTCCCAAGCCCTCCCAGGCTGCTTCCCCTTCCCCTCCCCAGCTCTGAGGCCTTTGCTGAGGTGCCTGTGGACTTAAATGCCCTGCATTTGTTTATCACCCCTGCCTTGGCAGGGGAGTATCCCCAGTTGTCACACCATTTGTGACGGTCCACAGTTCTCCTGCTATTGTGGTGGCTGATGGCGACTGGGCATTTTAAATGATGAAGAAAAGAGAAGTCAATGATCAAATCCAACAACATTAGCCATAATAATTTTTTTTTTTCTCTTTTGAAAGTCCCTGGAAGAGAATAAGGAGACAGGCCTGGACAGGATTTCTGCTTTGCTTAATTACAAATAGACATATTATAGCAGATATTAATGATTGTATTTAGGAATTTCAAATATGACTCAA